AACGAAGAACTGCGTGACGCACGCCGGCGCCAACAGGTCGCATTCTTATATCCTGTCTCCCTTATTTTCTTACCGTATTTCCAGAAAAATCCCTCCCTCGCTCAGGATGCGTCCAAAGCGCATCCATTTCGATCGCTAAGTTGTCGTGATTATTATTCCCAGCCATTTCCTCATCTCACCTATCAGTATTCATTCCCAATGTTGAAGTTCATTTTCTCAGCAGTGAGACAAAATATGTTCACCAATCCCATACAGTATGACCTGCCCTCGAATCGAACGGAGTCTCTGCTTAATGCAGTCATGAGAAACGGTTCGCATAGGCGTGCCAGCGCCAACAGGTCGTATTCTTACCTCCTTTGACCCTCGTTGTATTCTCATGTTTTTAAGTTCATGTGTCGACATGAAACCAAGAGGGAAACGGGAATGGAAATGAACCTACACCTAGAGCTTCCCAGAGTCTATTTCAGGCCTCGGGTTGCGCACCAAAATATACCCGACAATTAATTATCTTCTTCCCATTTCGTTCCGAATATTCCTCCATGGAAGCAAAAAAAAGGGCCTGCAATCTGCTCATGACCTGTCCCTGAATCGAACGGGGCTTCTGCTTCAACTTTCTATGGGCGAACGAAAAACTGTGTGCAGACGCGCGCCAGCGCCAACAGGTCATATTTCCATACAAATGTCCCTTACTTTATCACCATGCTTTCAGGGTCGTCAGTTGACTTGCAACACAACACTCCTTCCGAAAATATCCCGCTCGAAGTCGTTAACATTAGTGGCAATTTCCATCCCGCTGGAACCTGGTAACCTGGTTCGCGGTGAGTCATTATTCCTGTCACTTCCTTACTATACAAAAGCTAGGACTGAATCTTGCAGAATCAATGCAGAATTCATTGACATGCGGGTCATCTGTTCAACTTCCTGTATTCCGCAACTCTTTTGTTCTCTGTCTACTTATCTAAAAATGCTCATCTAAAACGCTTCTAAGGGTTCTGGTTGGTTCCGATACTTCGAGGTGCCCTCCAAAACTCGAGTGCTCGAAGCTCCAGGTGTAACAAATAAAAAAGGAAAACCACGATGTGTACTTCATCGGAATGCCCGAAGGCTGCACAGTACTTCAGCATTTTTTACCTCAACAAGGGGATACAGATGTCTCCAAACCCCAGAACCCAGCTCAGCACTACCGCCGCTAACGTCCACTCTCCACCGTACTTCGAAATTCTCTGGCCCACCATCATTTTCAGACGGCATCATGTGGGGGTCAAATCCTTGTTGCACTGTTCAGACTACATTATCTTTGTACTCATAGCTCCATGCTGGTTTGACTTTCCACTGCTTCAGCATTTGGATCTCCTCGTGCATCATCTCCTGCACCTCCGCTATTTCCAAAAGATGGGTGAATTGACGATAGTGCCTCATGTAGGCCCACCAGACTGAGTCATGATGCCCCATCCACGAAAGAATGTCGTCCACATTCCCACCAGCGCGTTTGAAAGCGTCACATAACATGGTGTTCCTCTCGAGAGCGTCCCGCCTCCTCATCTCGGATGGGTCATCTAGTATCATTTCCACCTTGTTCCTGGGTTTGACCTTGTGCCAGAATTCATCCAAGGTGTGAAATTTACCCAAGTAGTACACTGTGCGTGCATCCTCAACACAGTAAAATTGTGTCAGGTCCACCGTTGTAGTGAATATCATAGTGTCCCCGCCCTCACAGGAAAAGTGTGCCAATGGCATCAGGAGGCCATCAATGCGGAAGCCTTCTCTGATGCGGATGCCAAATGAGCTCCTGTTTATGTACTGCCAGCGAGGTCGAAACTTGTCCAGACCCTTCCAGTTCACCCAGTCGCCAGCGGTCCAGTTACGGTACAGTGCAGAACCTTTGGGTATCTCCCTAGAAGTCCACGAAGAAACCGGCAAGCGCTCGACCTGGGGATGGTAATACACACTTTTACGCTGTAAATACATATATTAGCCCTTATATCTGACAATCAATGTGGTATACTTGCCACCCCAAGGCCCACGAATTTTGGATGCTGTCACAGGTCAACACAGGATTCTCTTATGAAATTGGAACATACCTACTTCATTTATTAACTGAAACCAATCAGGGATCTTGGGAACTGCTTCGACCTTTCTCTGTGTCGTGGAAAATGGGTTGAGTGCCCCAATGGACGCATAAAATGGGAAACTCTAACCAGCTCCTCATAAGTAGCTTTTGCTTTTGCTTTTGCCTCTGCTTCTGCTTTCCCCTCAAGCCGACTTGGAGTTTGTTCATTGGGGTAGGACCACTCGACCGGGACGGGGACCGGGGGAGCGACACTGAAATTAGGCCCGACACCCTCCAGTTCATCAAACAACTGCTCAAGATTGCTTCGCTGCTGAACTGGAGTAGGGTGACATCCCCAGTTCTGCTGCATAGATGGATCGATGTACTTTTGCTGAGCAGGCCCCGGCAGGAAGAGGGAAAGGACGCCGATTCCACTACCGTCTCGGAAGGGTACTAGTGCCAGGTTCTAGGGTTCAGTCTCAAAGAAAGAAACCAGCTCAGAGGACAGAGTGTAGGATTTTCGAGAGACTGTGGAGGGAGGAAGAGGGAAGAAAACACGAGGCCGTTGTTGATCACTGGATCAGTGGGTGCAAAGGCGGTGCTGTGCAATTTATAGATTTTCCGTTCAATTCAAAAGGCCCTCCGGGCACCCCTGGTACTTGTGATCAGACACCCTGCAGCCTAAAGTAACTGCAGACTTCTTGGAACTTTTCTGTGAACAGGGAACCCCCAGGTTGAGGTTTTCACACGGTCCAATAATGTAAGGGAGAGGCCCGGGCAACGGGGCCCAGACATGTGAACACTGTGTTGATGGAATCAATCAAAACATCCTATAAACAGTAATGGTGTGATGGGAAGAGGGAGAAAGCAGGGTGGAGGCAACGGGGCCCAGGCTCCCATCGTCCATTGATGTAATCAATCAGTAACATCCGTAAATGGTAATGGTATGATGGGGACGGCGGGAAAGCAGGATGGAAGGACCTGGGCACTGGAGTCCAGGCTTTTAACAGGCTTTTGATGGGATCGATCAATAGTACCTATAAACGGTAATGGTGTGATGGGGAAAGGAAGAAAGCAGGATGGACCGCCCAGGCTGAAAATGCCTTGATGGAATCAATCAAAAGTACCCATTAACGGTAATGGCATGATGGGTTGTCTGCATTTGAAATCTCTAGACCTGGTACCGTATACTAGTACCAGGAACTTTGGTTCAACTTCCAACGTATGCATAGTGATTGGCGAGACAGGTTGTACTTGCTTATGTGCTCGGTCCTTTCTTGCATCTGCACTGACTTATTCCAAGTTCATCACAAGATTGATGATCAACACTACATTAAATCGTACCACAATGATCTTCGTGATGGCATTCTGCAATTATTCATCCACGTTCATGGAGATTGCCTTTGTATCATATGAGTATCCCCAGAAGAGAGAAATATAGTTGAATCCCCTTCGCGCTTGAAGCAAGGCGGGAAAGCTGAGCACCAGATGCGAAGGTGCATTATGGAGAAGCGTGAACAAATCTGTGAAATCCTCACCGAATGGAAGACGGCGAAATTCTGATCTTGGAATCGGATGTGGAGCCCTATGAATAGAACAGCAAACTGTGGTAAAGCCTTTTCGTCAATGCGGACAAGCTACTTACCAGTTGCCAACGAAGTTGAAAACTCGGACCGGCTGTACTTGGTGGGTTTATGGATTAGCCCGTGGATGGCTTCGCAGGTCTCGGTGGACACGTCACGGTAGTCGACGTTCATCCATCCATGGCTACCGTAGAATAAATTAAAGTTGTTCGCAAAGATCCAGATTTGGCATACCTCTCGAGATCCTTATCAAGTTTCCCCAGGCCATTTTTCATGGTAGGAGGGCTTCAGCTTCCTCCTGGGGGCTACGATCCTGGGTCATTTACGTAGTAACGATGGAAGTGCACGATAAGAAGAGAAATCATGCACAGCCACTGAATACACGATCTTTGCGCGTGCTGGTGACGATGATGGTTTTCAGGTGCATACTCCTGAAAACCACCTACGTCACTCACCCAAATGCGACACTTGCTGCAAACATCAATTCTCGGGTAACCTTTAAGGGAAATTCCGGCTGGGAAAATTTGCACCAGCCATGCACACTTCGGCATGCCTAACATGAACAACACATGGCCATGTATGGCCTTGGCAAACCCTTCCTGCCCGGGATGTTCATGCCAGGATGGTGTGCGCCTTGCAAAGGTCACACCAGGCTGATCAATGCCTTGGAAGGCTTGGTATTCCGTAAGAGGCAGTGCACACTACAACAGGCTTCCACGGTGGATTCATCCATGCAAGTATTTTCTCACCTGGATTCATCCATGCAGAAGTTTATATCACCTGGATTCATCCACCGTACTTTCCTTTCACGGTGGATTCATCCAGGTGATATTTTTTGCTTTGAAGCGGATTCATCCGCGTGTTTGTTTGGTTCCCACCTGGATCCATCCAGATGACGGCTGGATTAATCCATCCATTTGTTTGGTTCCCACCTGGATTCGTCCACGCGTGGCTTACTAGATGCATGGATGAATCCAGACCTTTGTTTGCTTTCAATCAAATTTTATAGTCTTTCTACACACATTACACCAGATACTTACGTGTCTAACAAATCACCATCCCGCCGAATGCACGGTTCATTTTTGAACCACTCAAACCAAAATTACTATATGCGGACAATAACGGTTGTTGTCTCTTGTTTCAAAATGACGTCAGCTTAAATCAAAGTTAACGGCCAAAATAATGGTTGCTGAGGGAGTCGAACCCTCTTCACGTGTTAGGCAAGTTGAGTAGCACTGTACCATGTCCAAGTGTCATGCCGTTAGACCAAGCAATCTTAATAAAGCCATGCTTGGCCCTCACTCAAACCTAATAAAAGATGTAATTACTTTGCGAAAAAAAAAAAGGACGGTCAAAAGAAAGCCCAAAGCCCAAATCTGGAGTCGAACCAGAGGAATTCCCCATAATGAAGTTCCTCTCCAAAGCGAAACTGTAGAGACGTGTTAACCGTTACACTATTTGGGCTTTGATTAAAGCAACCCTTTATCCTGCTAAACGATGTAAATAGGACCTTGGAGGAATCAAAAAAAAACAAAAAACATTACGAGACAGCTGAACGACCACTGTGGGGGTCGAACCCACACCAGGCCATTTCATTTTGACGCATCCGTAAAATTGAGTATGGGCGCCTTTAACCACTTGGCCAAGCGGTCGGTGAGAGACGAAGCCGGGAACCGGTCACCTACCTGCTCTTCCACTCTCACATCGAAAAAAAAAATAACGTAGATGCAAGACGTTTTTGACATTGTAACTACTTTAAGTACCTGACGCAGCCTATAAGTACTCATCGTTGCAAAAATGACATAAAAAGAGGACATGGTCGGAATGACATATAAACTAAAGTATCCATGGTACTTCGCGCATATTACAATAGCCCCACTTGCGAGGCACAGAGGTCTGCCATACCGGTATCCTCGCCTACAATCTCCATTCTCTCAGGCACCATGACCCAGGCGGGCACCGCCGACTGCCAGTAATAGGTGTGCGCCTCCCGCTGCGACTTGGGTGTAGTTTCCTTCCGCAGGATCAGCCGTGCGGCAGTGAAGCTGTCTGAGTGGTTATTCCCGACCTGGTACCGGCACAGGAAGGACGAACTCGGTCCAGCGACCACAGAGGACTGCCCCAAGGCCGAGGTCGTCCCGAGCCCAGGAGTCAAGGTGGAGGTCGAGCCGGCCGAGGATTTTTGTCGTTTTGAGGCCGGGCGCTGGTGCTCGACGTCGTTGTCGTCGTCCTCCTCGTCTGACGATAGCTTGGTGGCACCGTGTTTGGCCGCCTTGCTCTTGCTCTTGCTCTTGCTCTCCGCCTTCTTGGCCTTCTTGGCCTTCTCGATCGAGCGCAGCAGCGCTCGGGAATCACGACCCGTCACCAACGTGCTCGAGTCGACACATACAACCAAGGGGATATCTAACTGGTCCTCTGGGTCCAGGTCCATTTCCTCTTCATTATTTGCTCAGTCCAATGCACACGGATGAAGTCAATCACGTACCTTCTGTCCACGATACAATTGTGGTAGTTCCCGTTGCCTCCACCCCCGACTCGTAGTTCTCCCTGAGGTTCTCGTAAAGTTTTGTGAACGCCTCAGCGTGCTTTCCCGCCCATGATGAGTTGAACTCGGCACATGGGCAATTCTGCTTCAGATCCACCGGCCAGTTGATGATGCGGAGATGATAGGTCATCGCGGTGTCGGGCCACTTCTTCCAGGCCATGGTTTTGAGGCTGGAAGCGTCGACACTGCGATCTCGAAGTTCGATGACTGTAAAATTGTTAGACTAAGGCACAGGTCATACATAACGGACTTACGGATCCGGTTCAGCATCATTTTGGAGACGAGAACGCGGCGCTCATCTCTGGTGTCCTTCTTCTTGAAGGCTATTGGAATCGGAGGTGGCTGCTTTCTTATCCCCCCTTCGTCGTCGCCGACTGCCTCGGCCTCCTTTGCCCGAGCCGTTGCTGTAACTCTGCATACCATCAGCCCACTCAGTTGCGGTGGCATTCCTGCAAAACGACTTACTGGGTCATCGCCTTGAACTGAACGAGCGTGTGATTGAAGGTCGGGCCATAGGCGTCCAGGACTGCGCGGCCGTTGTCACTTCCAGTGAACCACGCGCAACAGTCGCCAAACACGTCGATAGCCATCCCAATCACGTCTATGTCGTATTTTTGGCTCGTTATCGTTGCCTGCGATATCGTAAGTGGCGTAAATTAAACTAGATGGACGCGGACGTACCTGGTGAATGAACGGCTGCAGCGTCTTATCCATAAGGGCTTTGCCGCGTCCCCTCGCTCTCCTGTTATCCAGCACCATTTCATTCCGCTCGTGGAACCGCTGCATGAGCTCTTTGGTGCATTCGCGACGGGCAGCGGGATCAGCCATCTCCTCCTCCCAAAGAGCGGAGAAAAGATTGTCGTATGCCGTCTTGACCTCGAGCGCGTAATCCTCCACAGACACTGCAGCAAAGTAAATCAAATCAGAGTACATTAAGCGAGAGAAATGTAGACACATACTAGTTTTAGGCCGCGGGTGGTCTTGACGGTATAACGACTGATGTGCGTTCCAGGCATTGGCCGACCTCTCGACAAGTTGGTGATCTCCTGCGGCCTTGAAGACGGACGACAGAAGCTTCCCTTCCCTGCGAGCGATACTTTCGGCACGCTGGTGGTAGAATGCGTGCGCCTCCAGGAGGTCCTTCATCCCCTCCTTGGAGATGGCCCCCTTGCGCAACTCCCAAGGTGCCGTTTGCGATTCTTCATCGTCGTCTTGTTCATCCTCCTCCTCCTCCTCCTCCTCCTCCTCGTCCCACGCCTTGCTTTTCCCTTTCCCTTTGTCCTTCCCCCGACCTCCCTCGCCAGCACCAAACTCCGCATCGTCCAACCGGTCCTGCTCCTCCATTGAGAGCTGCACTGTGGCGCCGGGAATCTGCCTGGCGACTTTGTTATGCTCTTTTCGTGCTTTTGTTTTTAGTGCGGCGGTGGCAGCGTAGTCCGACGCATCCGACGCGTCGCTGCGTGTCTCCCAATCCTTCTGCTCGTCGGGGCCGGGTGTGGCGTCGCGCACGAGCTTCTTCTTCTTCTTGGTACCCGGGTCGTCGTCTAGCTGCAGCGGGTCCATGTCCACGTCCCCGTCCTTGTGCTCAGCGAAAAATAGTGGAAACGCGGAGCGAGGCGATTTTTCGGCCAGCTCCTGCTCCAGCTCCCATCTGTGCCAGGCGCCGATGTCGAAGTTGGGGTTGAAGAGGTCTGTGTTGAGTAGGTTGATCCGCATGGTGTTCGCGAAGTCGTCCATGACACGGCAGTCGTCACCTTGGACGACCCGGAGTGCGAATCGGCAGTCCATCACATCCAGGCCTAGCAGCTCGTCGCCGGGGTATGGCTGGCCCTTGTGCAGAGCGTCCAGAGCTGAAAGCTCCTCTGGCACATACTCGTCCTTGTGACATTTGTGAGCTTCCGGACGACCGGATGTCAAAATAAAACCTACCGACGCGTCTTCCCGCTCTGAAGTGTTTTCCTTGAAACTGCACGGCTCCTTGGCAGCGTCGGCATTCGATAGTTGGATTGGTGCATCGGGTACAGCATCAACAGTGGACGTTTCCTTGCGTGCGTCCAGTGTCTGCAGAAGAAAAAAAATTGAGTACGGTCCGTCAGAAATAAATAACACGCACCAGCGGCGCTTCCAGGTTGCGGGGCGGCTCCTGCGGCGCGCCGTCCACTGGTGGCACGATCTGCACAATATTCTTTAACTCAACCACAATTCACGAGCAACAAGACAGAAAACCCACCAGCGCCGACTCTGTAGCAGGGTTACCACCCTTTTTGCCTTTTGTCTTTCTCACTGCAGGGGGTTTGGGCGCATCAGTCGTGTTGCTCTCCTTGCCCTCGTCGACGGGTTTCTTCTTGCGGCTTGGAAGAGGTGCAGCGGCGGGCGTGGCAGCGGCTCCGGAGGTTTTGTGGCGCGTTGAGCGCCTAGGAGGTATCGGTTCAGCCATTGAAGGTAAAAACTTGATTGTAAAATCCTTGGTGGGGGGGATCTTGGTGGCACAGTAGATGATTCTGAAAAGTTCACAAGTTCCATAAGTGGGTACTTGGGGAGACTATAAGATAATACCTGGTGGTGGCTCGGCGTACGACAACAATGTCACAGCAGGGGGGGACAATCAAGCCCTGATACGCGCTTGCGCCTTTAGGTCATCGAGCCACCTTCGTGCTCGATTTAGCTAATCGAGGCCAACCTGCGCGAAATTCGCTTAATTCTGTGGAACAATACCGCAGTCAGTGGCACCGTCTGGCTGCTATAAAGAGCTATGGTTAGGATACACACATGCGAACCTGCCTCATCCTCCTTCGCTTCACGTCCACCGTGCCACCGACACTTCGTAGTAATATTTGCTGGAATGGCGCGTCAATTTTTCGGCTCATCTCACGCGTACTCGTTCACTAGGATTGCGCCATACCTGCAAGAGACCCTCCCACCGGATACTCCGCCATCTGGCTGCAGGCACGCGCTGGTCCCGCCGTTATTCATGGGTGCGTTTGCTTTCCCTAATCCCTGCCGTCAAAAATTTATTGCGCTCCAATAAAGCGTCACTCACGCGTTCCCTGCATCCCAGACGCATTCTACACCCTCCCAGACATTGTGCTTGAACTTTCCGCGTTGCTGCAGCATTTCGACCTATGTCAGCCTCCTCGATATTTCGCGTATTTGCACGTACGCACCTTTTTCTGACGTTTCTATTCCTTCTAACCCTTCTCCCAGCCCCTGCAGTACGTTCATCTATGCGCGTCAGTCGTTTCAAGTGCTGCACGCCTAACAACCAACCTAATATATCCGTCCTCCCTAATCCTCCCGCCGTCAAATATTTATTGCGCGCAAGTAACGCGTCACTCACGTTTTCCCTGCATCCCAGACACCTTATACCCCCTCCCCGACATCGCGCCTGAAGTTTCGACGTCGCTGGAGCATTTCGACCCACGTCAGCCTCCTCAAAATTTCGGCCGTTTATATGTACGCACTTTGTTTGCCACTTTTTGATCCTGCTAATCGCTCGTAAAGGCTCTCTAACGTGTTATCGGCGTGCGAGGGTCATTTTCAGCTGCCCCACGCGCAGCAGCACACTTACCTGGCCACCCCTGTATTTTTTCCCCTTTGCTGCCTTTTTTCTCTTTGCCCGCATTCGTACAATGTTTTCTCATTTTTTTTGCGTGTCTAGCGGTCGCTAACTACCCTATGTACGTCCCCGCCCCAGACGCCCCAGTGGCAAAGGGATCCAAACTCCGCCATCCATCAATCATGATTTGCGGACTTTCGGCAGGTCTCTGCCGGTGATCCCGGCATGAGCTCGCCGAAAGTCCACAAATCATCTTACCAAAGCTTGCAGCACAGCCACCTTTTCGCTCTCAGACCTCGACCAACACCTTCCTACTGCTAATCGCTCGTAAAGGCTCTCTAACGTGTTATCGGCGTGCGAGGGTCATTTTCAGCTGCCCCACGCGCAGCAGCACACTTACCTGGCCACCCCTGTATTTTTTCCCCTTTGCTGCCTTTTTTCTCTTTGCCCGCATTCGTACAATGTTTTCTCATTTTTTTTTGCGTGTCTAGCGGTCGCTAACTACCCTATGTACGTCCCCGCCCCGGACGCCCCAGTGGCAAAGGGATCCA